AACAGCAGATACAGTTGTAGACCCTGTCTTATGCAACAGCTTCCTAAACATTGAGGTGAACGTAAGAGTAATGCTAGGAAGAGAAACACGTTTTCAATTAGTCTCCTTTCGCTCTCGAATGAAATGAAACTTCAGCTACATTTCACCGTTTTGCTGATACTTTCAGTATTTGGGTTACAATCCGAAAATTCGTCTTTAATGAGCACAAATAATTTGTTGTTGTTTTTAGTTCTTTCTTTTAATATATCCAATATTTCCTGTTAGATCGGCAAGACCGTTTAGATGCTTTTTATCTGGAGTTACTGCTGGAAATAAATCAGTTAAGTTCAAGCTTTTAATTTACAGGCAAATTTAAGCACGTCATCATCATTAAATAATAGACACCACGCGACTATATCTCAACAACTTTGATAAAACAGTTTAGGATATGAAATATCTTAAGAGTCGTTTTACGCAGCTGTCTCCCAACTACTTCCTGAGAGAAGTATTAGAATTCCCGTAACAGGCTACTGAAGGATACACTTTTATACATTTCAGCTTTTGCTGAAAGCGATGTGAGGCGGCTCAAAGCGGCTGAGGAAATGTCTTCGGGAGGGGAGGGCGGGGCAGTTGAACGCGTAATAGCCATCGGCTTCGAAACGCATGACACGGGCAACGCGAATTCTCTTTCGCTTTTCGGCCCTCGTAAGGAGCAGTGTGCGCAACGACATAAGACAGCGGAAATTTAACTTGAAAACAATATATCAGGAATAGTGATTTGAAATTATTTTTATTAATTACGAACGAAATTAATTACGAAGACCATTAATAACGATAATGAAATTCTTTCACTGAATACATCATAAAAGTCAGATCACAAAGCAGTGAAAAGTTGTATATTTGCAGACTGTCATTAACCTAAAATATTTTTAGTAAATCTACGAGCAAACTCTTCACTGGTACTTCTGTAAAATTTGAAATTCTTTGTTGTGGAAAAATATATTTTCATTCAAATTAGACATGTAGTTTTTTAATGTTTGAAGGGATTTTATTTTAAACAGTGCAAGGCATTAATACGTTAAAACAAGACTACAAAAGCCACGTTTTGCGTGGATGATTGGGTAGTAAACAATGAAAATTTATTTTGGATGAAAATAATTGTACAAATTTAATTTATTTGTATTTTTTACTGTCTTAGTCGGTTTAAACATTTTAAAAAAGGTACAGTGCTTCAATATCTAATGAAATTTGTATATTTTTTGCTTACACGCAAATTAATATTAAACAGTCTGTGTAATTAAGAAAGGGACAATAAAATACCAACGCGTTTGTTGCTCCCGATTCGCAGCTTCCCCTTTCAGTGAACATCTTATCGAGTCCACTACACACGGCGCGTGATTCAAATCGTTCTGAAGGTCATTCGCTTATCTTCTTCTTCTTGTCCTTCTTCTACTTCTTCTTAAAAAGTCTGAGACGTGTTCCCCTCTAAGAATTATAACGAGTCTTTCCCTCTTCTCCTTCTCCTTGGTCTGCCAACTTCTCTTCTTGCCCTCGGCTTTTCATCCCTAGTAATCCTCATGATTATTTTCTCCTCCATTCTCTCAATATGATCGTTTCAGTCCTTTCATCGGTCTGCTACCCATTCCGGTCTGGGCTTAACTTTGCACTCTTCCCTGATGTTTCTGTTTCTTTCCTTATCCAGTAGAGTGTAATTTTAATTTTTCTCAGAACTCTCATTTCGGCGACCTCAAGTTGTTGTTGGGTGCGTTTTGTTTTGCTTCTTGTTTCTCCTGCATATGTTAATATTGGTCTAATTATTGATTAATATATTAATATATTCTTCGAGTCCTGTTTTAGATGTTTATTATACCATATTGAGTAGTTGAGACATCCAACGATCCTATTACTCATTACTATTTGCTCTTTGATTTCTTTCTCCGTTTGTACTGAGCTTGATAAAGTTATTCCCAAATACTTCATCTGTAGATTTTGTTCTATTATTTGAATATCCACTACCAATTTACACCTAATCGGATTCTTAGCAATTGTTATAGCTTTCGTCTTCTGGATAGGTATTTGTAAATTAAAGTTCTTATAAATTATACATAATTCATTCAGTAATCTTTGTAAGTCATTTTTCATTTTCTGCTATTAACAATGTGTCTTCTGCGTAACAAATGATATTTATATTATATTTTCCCATACTACACCTTTTTTGTTTTTAGTTGTTTTATAATACTATTCATTATTACATTAAATAACAATAGTCTCAATGAATCCCCTTGTCTTATTCCTTTTCATGCAGGTATAGCAGGTAATATTTTCCCCTGGTTTTTAATCTTTTTTTTGTTTTCTAAATTGTAACTACACTCGCCGTGTGGCTGCTTCGACTAACCTGATTCAGCGTTGCCCCGGCTGCTCAGTCCGTAGACCCTTTAAAGGGAGGCATGCGTGATAGGGCTTTCTGAAATAGATTCTTAAGAACTTCTGTAATTGCTCTTTGGTATGCTTCAAATAATCAAATTGATAAATACCTCAATTTACCAACAATATTTCAAGACTTTTCCAGCATTTCACATAGGGTCTACTCAAAACGTTCTAATTTTTCAGCCCAGATCATATTTCATCTGGGCAAAACTTGTGAACTTCTACGAACCATACTCCGATCCAGCCCAAGGACAAATTTAGACAATCTTAAACCAAGCCCATAAATCTTACATTCCTACTGTAAAGTGTGTATAAAATAGCTTTCAAATAAATAAAAACAGAATCCGTTCTGCACTGTTGTATTATTGGAGAGGATCCCAGAGTGGTCAGTATGTAATACTTGAACATACCTAATTGTACTGTGTGTGAAAGTTGTTTATAACCACTGTGCCAAAAAACAGCTCGAAGCCAGCTCGAGCGCAACCACTCGTTTGAAGCAAGATGGGCTGGTCTGATCTAAGAGGGAGAGAGCAGGGGTTTTCAAGTACTACATTAAATGCAGTTTTTCTCCCAGTTCTTCCCCTTCCCCTGGTTTATGCTTTCACTTTCGTTTTACTGAAATGTATCCCCTCATTTTGTCTTCTGGACATATCATGAGGAGTCATCGCCATCATGAGCTCAGGAAAAAATAAAAACAAGACCCTGCTGATGTAGACTATTTTTTATAAATGCCGAACGAAAAAATACTTGCAAATAACAGCAAACAATTCTTCTTGGTCACCGAGTGAAGAGTTTTGCAATGAGAGCGAATAAGTGAATAACGATGTGTAATTAATATAATTAAATACGTGCTACCTTATCCTCAGGAGGTGGGATTTCACCGCGGTTACTCTTTTTTTATCTTTCTCTTTAACATTCATCGTCATCATTATCAATCTTTTTCTTAGTTTTGCGAATCAGCCGTAATGCGGCCCTGCGATACGTGCATCCCACTGGGACTCAGGCTTGATTATCGGGGTAGGCGGGCGTTACTTTTTCTATAGCCTATGGTGGTTAGCCCTGGGTGGGATGAAATTATGATGATGAATATTGAAATAAACACACACGAACAATTCATACGCCCACAATAATGTCCGATGTGGGGCTCGAACCCAAGATCCTTTGGTCCGAGTCCGCCACTGCCGTACTGCCTTAGAGATCTCGGTCATCATATCGACTATTATTATTATTATTATTATTATTATTATTATTATTATTATTATTATTATTATTATTATTATTATTATTATTATTATTATTATTATTATTATTATTATTATCATTATCATTATTATTATTATCATTATCATTATTATTATTATCATTATCATTATTATTATCATTATTATCATTATCATTATCATTATTATTATCATTATCATTATTATCATTATTATTATTATTATTATTATTCTCTGTACTTTGTCACACATCTCATCAACAAAGCATTGGCCCTATTGGGAAGAGAACACAAGTTGTCGATAGATAGAATATCTCGTCGATACAGAAGATTCCTCATCGTCGCTGAGCGGCGTGATTCGCTTCGGAATGGCAGCTCGTGGAGGGGGGGGAAGAGCGAGGCGGGGGTTGTCAAGGGGCGCCGCTCCGTGTGCCGGCTCGTCGCTGAGCAGACATTTCACGCGGTGTGCTCATCCGCGACAGAAGCAGTAGAGGCGGCGCCCTTTCTGCAGCCGGCGAACGCCGCCGCCGCCTTCGTTATCAAAGGCCGCTCACGCGTCTGTCCCCGGCGCTGTCCGGGCCGCGCCGCCGTCTTTATTTCTGGGCAACGCAGTCGTGAGTAATTGAATCACATTTTTAAAAGAGAAAGCGCTCGGATGTGAAGGAGAGAAAAAAAGAAGAGTTGTCGTATCGACAAAAGAAGCCGGCTTCTTTCTTTATTCGTGAAACAGGCGCGACACCCGGGAGGGAATGGAGAGCACGCGTGTCATAAAAATAGCTCCGAAGGAAGATTTCTGTAGAGGGAGATATTGTTGAAGAGAACTGCTGTTGTTCAAGTTAAATTTGGAACCTTTTGTTTTGTTTGACATTCAAAATGTGTTTATTTAAATATTTGACTCTGAAGGAGCTGTGAAAACCTGGAAACAAACATTACCGCCAAGGATGGATGCAGTGAGTTGTAAAACGTACTATGATTCTTACTCGAATGGACATTATATTTTATAATACTTTAACACATCGGACTACACGAAAAAAAATTCAAAAGGCTTCAGAGCCATCGTTTAATTTTTTTTTGATTTTATGAATTTGGACCTCGTTTTAGATCAGTTCATTAGTGAAATTAAAATTTAAGTTTGAATTCTTAATTGATAGTAAGTTTAATCATTCACAGAATACCATTTCATGAAAGTATATTATTTTTCTGAAATGTATAAATACAAAAATTGAGATCTTCAATTTACATTTTATTTGAAGAAAGTGGGAAAACATTTTTAATGAGCACGAAATATGTTAAGAACGAAAGCAAGCAAAATTTCCAGTACTACGTATCACATCATACAACAGACAAAAAAAGGTTTAATTCATTTTATTCACAGGTCACCGCACGTGAAAGAACAGGAGCAAGACACAGCGGCCCCAAGTTCAAGCTCTGCGGGAGATGGGGCGAAATGGCCGCGGAAGGAGACAACCATTATTCTCCCAAGTTGGGGCGTGTCCGCGTCGCGCGGGAGATACTGCGTAAGTTGTCGCCGGTCGGGCGGCGGCGAGGGCGGCGGCGAGGGCGGCGGCGAGGGCGAGGGCGAGGGCGAGGGCGAGGGCCGGGTCTCTGGGCCGCCAGCTGCGGTCGCTGGGTCGCTGAGCCAGCGCTGGCGCCGGGCGAAAGGCTGGGAGCGGCGAGGCCGCGGCCGTGGCCGCGCGCCAGCCCCCGCAAACTGCACGCGCGGAGCCGTGCACACCAGCCGGCAGACTCTCTCGTGCACATCCGGCTCACGTTACGGTACTGGGAGTTCGGGTGGCGGTGTTTCTGCAAGTTCCGCTTTACAGGTGTCATCTCTTCCATCAGTCCTCTCTATCGTTTATTGATTGATTGATATTTCTTGACTCGCCAACTGCTATATTCGTTAGCTCTGTCAGTGAAGTGAATGTTTTAGCGCGGGAGTTGGCGAACTTCCTCACACACTGGTTGGTGAGGTTTGGCTCCGACTTACACCTCTGTGAAAAATTACACTTCTAGGTATCTCCCCCATCGGGATACCGCCTCAGCCGGGCAAGCAGTGAGCTCCCGACTAGTTTTCCGACAAGCGTGGAAGTGTAGTGCGTGGTCGTCGACGATTAATTATGGGAAGAGAAGAGGGCAAGGAAAAGAAAGGAAAGATCGCGCTCGGTCCGTGGCCCGTTTGTTAGGGCACTGCTCAGGCATTCTCCTGGTGTTGATCGGAGAAACCACGGAAAACATCCGGTCACAGCCGCCGCTACAATTTTCTTCGAAACCGTTGCTAATTTCGAGCTAGTATGTTGCTGCTATCGAAAAGCCGCCACCGAAAGCTAGGTCCCCCCTTACAGGGCAAAGCAGTGAATGGCAAATCGTACTCTGAGCTCAATTCAATCTCTATACTCATAAACATCGTCGAGCGCTCTTAAATTCTATTTCTATTGTCATAACATAGGTTTAGTACTTTTTTTAGTATTCGGGGCAAAACTTACTTTGTAAATTTCAGTACAACTCAAATCATTTGCTTGTGTCTTAAAGGCTGGGCGAGCTTCTCTGTAAATTCACCTCTTTATATAACCACATCATAATTAAATTGAGTGGACTCTCACAAGATTATTTTAACTATCGATGCGAAACGTTAATGCTCATCCGCCAGAGAATGCGAGGCTCGCGGCCGGGGTCAGGGCTGCCAGCTGCGGCCGCTGGGTCGCTGAGCCAGCTCCGGCGCAGACGAAAGGGTGAGAGCTGCGCCGTGGCCGCGCGCCAGCCCCGACAAACTACTTGTGTACGAGCGGGGGCGTGCTCACCAGCCGGCAGACCCTCCCATGCGGTGCTGGAACAAGCTAGTTTTTGTTCGGATCCTACGACGAATGGGAGGCTATCGTCTCTTCTCCCAACTCTTCTCTTGATCTTCCTCGTTTGACTTCCGATAATTACTCTTGTGATAAGTAGTCAGATGTAAAGTGTATTTGTAAATTTCATAATTCATAGAGGTCACTTCATAGGTGTAATAAAAGTCGAAGCACGTTATTAATATCCCTTTCTTTAGAACAGGCGATAATTTATTGAGTGTACAGCTACTAAATAAATCAATCAGAGGTGTGACTTGTATAAAGATGTATTAGGCTGACTAGAAGATATTAGCCAGCCCAGCCGCAGAAAGAGTGGGTGAGCTGGACAGTGAACGGTAGAGGAGGCGTGAGGCCGGAGGCAGGACAAAGGACACGATTGGGTGCGACGCGACGTTGAGAGGTCCTGATCGCGCCCCAGTTCCCATTAACTCCAATGGCATACCAGCCGGCCATTTTCTTCCTGCTGCGCTGGCTAAGATGGCGGGAGACCATATTCACTTCGCGGTAATTCAGGAAGACGCTGCCGTAGGTAGTTCATTATGTAGTGATGTGGAATTATGTAGTTAAAACGCTTGAAGGCTTTATAATTTGTGATTAGAGTACTTCGAAAAGAAAGTGGAAAAATCATGGAAATTACGGTACACATCTCTTGTACGACCGATATTGGAATATGGTTGCATACGTTGTGACCCATATCGTTTAGGGCAAATGAAATAACTCGAAAAAGTACAAAAATATAGTACAAAATTTGGTTGGAAAAGTTTTTCTAATTCTTAATTTATACCGCGGGAACCATTGGAAAACGGTAGAGAGAAATCGCGTCTTTGTGCGTTATTCAAATCAATAAGAGGTGATCGTCCATGGAGGAAAGTGCAGGCAAGGTTATCAAAACCAACATTCGTCGCGCGGAAGGATAATAGCCTCAAAATTAGGCAAAGAAAACAGAAGATATGTAGGTAAATTTTCATTTGTAAACAGAAGAATACAAAATTGGAATGAATTACTGCCACAATGCTAGAGACTTTCCCTCAGAATGTCAAAAATTTTAAGATTTGACTCAATAAATTTTATTTTTTAGAATATGTTACAATTGAAATATATTTTTTTAAGTTATTATTGTTATTTTTTATTAGGTCAAATTTAATCTGATTGGGTTAATACATTAATATTGTAAAATTGTATTAAGTAATATGTAAATATTATAACATTTGTTGTGTATATTTGTAGTAACTATTTAGAAAATGCTACCACAAAAAATTCGATGTATTCGTTAGTATCAAAATAAGTATTCTATTCTATTCACGAACCCCAGTTCAGGCTTCTAATCAAGGCATGAGAAAAGGTGTACGCACGAACTACTTGGGTTGGTTGGGATGGAACTGGGTTGCGCTTCTGGGAGCCCAGGCAACTTCCCCTGACTCCGCTCTCACTTCCCCTCCAAATTCAGGAAGGGGTGTACACGTGCAAGTTGAAGCATGAAATGTGTTAGACTTATAACGAAGAATGGTGGCTTTATATGAAAATATTTTTGCTTGAGGTTTTCTGACAAAAAACAGGGATTTGAATTTTATCTATATACTTTAATACTTATTAGGAACAATACTTCATTTTTATTTTCTTTTTAAAATCTACTTTTTATAAAAACTTCTTCCAAAGGACAGGAATATGTTTAAATGACCAATTTTTTGCTTGTTTTTGTTTGGTGTTGTTTCATTAAATCACTCTGTTATTAACAAAATTACAAAATCAAGTTACTTTCAATACAAAATCTTTAATATCACTCTCAATTGACAGTTTCTAATATTACTGATACATTTCAATTAATAGATACATGTTTTTCTTTAGTTAAGTTAAATGTGAATTAACTCATCTTAGGAAGCAATAATTGTGAAATAAATTCTCCAAAGACTGTATGAGAACAGTTATTTGTTCCTTCATGACTCAGTGCACGCAAACTCTAGAAAACTAGTTATCTTGCGCACGACCGTGGCATGCCTGCTCTAATCTTCTTAATCACATAGGAACCTCATTTATCCACTCAAAACTGGAAGTTACGTTCATAAGCCTTGCAGCTTGATTACAACATAGGTCGATAGGTTGCTGCATATTCATACAAGCTTCCTTTCTGTAGTTATAGTTGTAAATTTACTGTGTGAGCACTTGTCATGATGATATTGTGGGAAATTATTCCAATAGTTCCTTGCAACTGATACGTGGGAATCAGTCACATAGCCTGTCTCACCGTTTAGACAAGCTGTGGCCAGTACAGGGCGTTCGTATAGTAGGCTAGCAGAGGGCGTTCGTACGTAGATTCAGTAGCGGCCTAGGATATATTGTTGGGAGAATTTACTTACCACATGACGTCCTCTACTGACACCGATCAGACGCATTTATCTTCTAAACGTAACCGAAAAATGAAGTGTACGCGTTGCCTCGCTGTACAGTGTAACCCCGTCTTCCCCTACACCGCAAGCATGAGTCCTCTCTGGTTTCTCTGCTCTGCAAAATTTCAACCTTCGCGTCGATGGAAACTATATTATGAGAGTTACATAGTCAATATAACATTTCCCTCAGCAGTTTGCGCATGTATTAAAATTGTAAACTGTAGAGAGTAATATGTGGCTTCATAGAATGTGTAATATATTCACATATATTTGAATCACATGAAGGAATTTATTCTCAATAATTTACGCATTTTTATGTAAGGTTGTTCATAGTACCAAGTAACATAAGAGGTCTTTACATTTTCCACACCTTTTCACTTAACTCACCCAGTTTCAAAGCTTTGAGAGTATGGAAAAAATGTTGTTACACCATTATATACTGGTTTTTATTTCTTGGTGCGTGAGGGCCTGCGATGGAATACCTCACGATGGAATATCTCACGACATTTAGCGCCTTTCTCGGACCTCCTTATTCGATCGAAAGGAAAATTCATAACATGATTTTCGTGCCGATTTAAGCCCGCATGCCCGCGCAGAAAGCGTGGACGGAGCAAGATTTTATCGGAATTTGTCAGCACCTTTGCCGCCGAGGAAGCAGCGGCCGAATCGGAGAGGATTAGGGAAAAACGTGATTTAATCAAGCATTCCGGTGTTCGGGTGAGTCTGGCCGGGCCGGGTCGGGTCGAGAAGGGATGGGCCGGAATGGGCGCGCAGCCGTGACGGGTATTACTCTAAAACTTCGATCGCCGCGGCGCGTCGCAGCTCGGCGCGGCGGGGGGCGTCTAAAGCAGATGCGCCGGTCTTCGGACGCCGCCGCCGCCGGGCAGGCGCTGGACGCCGGGCGCCGCGCCGCGTGCATGCTCCGGGGGCCCGTTGCTTGGGCAGGCGGCGCACGCTCCGGAATCGGCGGAGTGCTGGTGTCGAGCTCTCTTTCAATCGTACGGTCGTTCTGTCTCTGTCTCCCGCTCTCTCGCACTCTCTATATCTCTGTACCTCTTTACCTCTGCACCTCTACACCTGTGCACCTCTGCACCTCTGCACCTCTGCACCTCTGCCGATGGCGGCGCCATTTCAACACTAGCTAGATTCCAGAGTCAAATATAGACGCTAACTGGGGTAGAATTCTAGTAGCCAGTGGTTATGTTCGGTAGTTTTCCTTGGTTTCTCCGATAAATGGCACGCCAATGCGAGAGCATGATCTTAACCGAACCACGAACGGCAAGCGACCTTTTCTTTTTCATCCTTATCTTCTCCTCAGACCACAGAGACGTATACTTAACACTTATTAACACTTCATTACCACGTATGTCGACAGACCAGTCGGGTGTTTCTATCTTGCCCTGGCTGGGGTGGTGCTCCCTGTGGGAGATACCTGGAGCAGCGGAAACTCCGCATGCCAACGTGTAGGTTGGCGTCGGATCATACATTCCAGCGGGGGAGAGACGGCGTCACCTCCCGGGATAATCATGCACTACACTTAAGATGATAATGACTCCAGCAATTGATGCGCCCGGAAAACACACAATTATAAATTAATTTATCTAACTACCTCTATCAAACTTCAAACTACTTCCTTTAGCCTTCTCACTTATCTTCTCACTCTCTTGTCTCTTCCATCTATTTTCCTGTATTTCCTCTCTTTTTAATTCTCTCCCTCTCTGTTTTACTTCTTTATTTAATATCTTATCTTTCTATTTCTCCTCATTTCTCATTATTTTTCTCTTTCTCTCTTGCATTCGTATATTCTTCCACCCCTGGTTTTCTTCTTTTCTCTTTACCGTTTTGTCATTACTCTTCTCTTAGTCTCTTTTTTCTTTTATCTTTTGTCACATTTTGCATGGTATATTTATAAATTACACATTTCAGGCTCATCATAATTCATGTGGCATCGTTTTGTCAGTTGTATGATTTAATTTAGCCTTTCTAAAATATCTTAGTTTTTTATGAATTTATTACTTTAAAGAACATTAGAATAACACACAACGCCTTTAATGGAGTGTCAAATGCCACCGCTTTAATCATTATGGTTTAGTGTCTGTACAATCATTTTTACTTTAGATTGAGATATTTGAATTTAACTAGGTTAACATATCACTTTGTTTAAATGCGCAATCTGATATATTCCTTTGTCTACTCGGTGTTTCCTTCTATGCGCTTTACATTTCGATATTAGGTAAACTTCATAACATTGATTTACAGTTTCCGATATCATGAAAGTTCGCCGAGTTAATTTGGAATCTGTGCCTTCAGCATCAATCAATTTTGGAACATTCATCACAGTGACAATGTCGAGTTCTATCAACCGGCAACTACTGGAAAAATTAAAAAATATTTTTCCAAGAGCCTCTGCCGTCCCTGGGTGGTTTAACAGAAACCGTGATTTTTACGTTGTATTTAAGTATTGTTTTCTTTCAAACAATGAAGGTGTAATGTAGGTGTCTGGGATATAGCAACTTTTAATGTTTTTATGAAGTATATATTATGTGTGGTTTTTTAATATTTTCATTAAACCTAAGCCGTTTTATTGCATATTCTACCTTAAACGCCCAAAAGCTATCAAATTGACAGCTTACCTAACTGATGAACGAAGCTTCTCTAAATATGTCTTGTTTGTACAGTCTTATCAAGAAATCACGCCTGCCGTCTTCAATGGACCAAAGTCCAACAATGTTATATATCTGAAGTGTTGATATTCATAGCTAGAGCTGTGAAAAACAAAGAATTATCCGTGCATGTAGATACCTCGCGATGAAATACAGCAGACAAGAGGAACATTTTCCATACATTTTGACGCGTACCTTCTGTTTGAATTAAAACAGACATACCTTTTCTTAAGTGCTTTTTGCTACGTTGCAGAACTCTGGGTGCCTTCCGCGTCGAAGAAAGTTTCAGTTCAGTCCAAACTTACCTGAATGTCCGATACTAGTTAAGAGAGTTGGGTTGAATTCAACCGCTATCGGGAGGAACCATCTAGCAGCCGGCTGCTCTGATTGATACTGGAGTTTTCCGTGGTTTCTCCGTTCGATTCCAGACGAATGCAGGAGCTGGAGATTTCCTTTTTTTTCCTTCGCCTACCCTCGCCCCTTACACACACACATTTACGTGCACTACACTACCATGCGTGTCAGGAGATCAAACTTAGAGTTTGTATCGGCCGGCCAGTGCCTTGCTGGGGGAGATACGTGGATGTGGAATACCCGGCAAGCCGACGTGGAGGTCGGCGCCAAATCTCATCATTCGCCGGGGGAAGAACACCACCATATCCAGTGATATACGATACGCACTACACTTATGGGAATATTTGCCAACACAGTTGACGCACCAGAAGATATGAAATAATCATTCAGTCAATGACTACACATCCTCGATGATGTATTTTCATATGCTTAAAATTGGAAAATGATAGAAGAAAAACAGAAATAACCCAAAAGTAAACCGTGAAAGGTGTGGATGCCTGGGCTAAGCTAAACTAAACCTAAATTCCTGGACTAATACTAGAAACCATTATATGAAATGTATTCGGCCTTAGCAGTAGAAACATTCTCGTACATAGAGGAAAGTACTCAAGACCGGGCCCCAATTTGTTTTCAAATATTTTTAAATTCTATTTTCTGCACAATTTATTCAAAATATATGCAATGCATACTTTAGTTTGGTATACAAATTGTGTATTCTTCTTAAAATTATTGACTAAGTAGTTCAAGAATAAAATATTTTTTTCGTAAACATTACATTTTGTGGAGTTTAAAAAAAGATGTTTTAAAGTGAGCCCCACGCACTCTGCATATTCTTAACCTGGGTCGGAAGATATCCCTGACAGAACTTCCAAATCGGAAGAGACAGAGAACATGTTCGATTTCTTGCCGGAGATGGAATCTTACTTTTGCTTTTTGTTTAACTTCAGAATTTCCTTAAATCTTTCTCTTTTCGATTTATTTGGGATTCAATTCTCAAATTGTTTCTTGACCTCTTTCTTCTCCCTGCCCTCTCGAACTGATAGTCTCTAGAGTAGGCTCTTGCTTTTTATTAGCCTCCTAAGTTAGAAGGAGTGAAAGAAACTGAAATTGCTTTTATTTTACCAGACGAAAAATTAGAGCCCCACGTTAGGAACCTTTGAGGGACATGGGTTAGGCACCAGCGTGTTTATAGTCCAAATGGTAGTAATATTTTTACAAAGCAAGTAAAATAAATTACATTGTCCAACATCTACAGATTGTAATGTACCCTTCAAAATAATGAAAGGTTGGAAGACTTACTGATAAATAACTGAAATCAGGCAACTGAGAATGAGCGCTTGAAAAATCTTTGCTTTTCACTGTTTGTGTTAATGACAAACTGTCCGGCAACAAGTAAGGTTAAGGCACTTCTACTTGACTGAGCTGCTGTCTTGCAAATAACTACAATTTTAGTACGTTTCCAATACGCAACAGATCTTTGCAGAGAAGCGTGTCTCGCTTTAGGAACTGGTGTCGGGTTTGGGGTATTTTCCTCTTTTGTTCTCTGGAGTTTTGTACTTATTTTAAGAAGCGATTACCTATTGAAATTAGTGGAATGAGTCAAAAAATGTTAAAGAGTATATTATTTTTGCTGATATTATTTTTTCAAATATATATACCATACATACAGGTACCTTTATGCGTTTAATTTTATTAAAATTGTATAATCTGGATACCTCATTTACAACTTTCATAAGCTATTTAAGAATAGAAATTACGAAAATTTAAGTTTTACCTACTTATCGTTGTGTAACGAGAAAGAACAACAGGACTTGCCAAACAATGAGAGGTAGAAAATCAAAAATGGAAGTAATTGAGGTCCCAATCTTTAAAAAACATTTAATCATTGAAGACTATCTAACTTGATCTGAGTCCAACATCATCTAAATAGAAAATCTAAATCCCCTAAATAAATTGTATTGCAAACATGTTGGCTAAATAAAGTCCGATATTCGCGAGAACTAGAGTTAACCCGTACGTCGGATAAAGAAGCAATTTTTCTGCATTACAGGGGTCACGTTGTACAGCGCAAAAACAGGGCGCATCGCATCGCATCGCATCGCATCGCATCGCGCCGCGTCGCGTCGCGTCGCGTCGCGTCGCGTCGCGTCGCCTCTTTGGGTAGCGTCTGTTCGACGTAATCGCAGCGTGATATCCCCTGGGCGCACGTGCGCTGGCCGACGGTGAGGTACGGGCTCGTTCAACACGACGGCAGAGAGATGGGTCCCATTTTAGCGGGATTGAGATGCAACGGGGGAAAAAACAAACAAGAATGACGTGACATCTACTTAACAGGCGAGCCACCCGTAGCGAAGCGGCCAGGCGCTATCTTTCCGAGACTCAAACTGTATACCAGGAATTTGCTGGGTCCCGGCGGATTACCTCGAGAACCTTTTACTTAACCCATCTTTCATTCCACGTTGGTTACAACATTCGTCTCTCTCCCCGTCATATATTTCGCGTTATTTACCATCGTGAAAATAGTGCAATACAATATTAAGTTAAAGCATTATTCAAAAGACTAGAAATCGATACTCTGAAATGGACATGGTATCATGAGTTAGAGTGGGGGATGGCAAAAACTTGGAAATAATGAAAAATTACATACTAATAAACAATTTCAAATATAATTTGCAACATTTTGACCTTTTTTGGAAGTACGGACGTAAAATAAAAGCAAAGTTAACGTACTGAGGTCGGTAAGCTTACAATTTCCTGAAGGCACACATTTCTTCATTGCGTCTTCCTAATTTAACAAATATTTTGGTCCACTGTGCTATATTATGGAGCTACAAGGAAGGCTACTAAGGGTGAGCGAAAAGAAATGGCACTAGAATTACCTGAAAACTGGAAATGCATTGATTGTGTGATTTAGCAGGCCTTGTGTCTTTGACTAGACTGTGAGAGAGGGATATTCAGGGGGAGGAAAATTGTTTTTCGAAATTTGGTTTAACGAACACACTTCACTCCTGCCACACATCTAATAAGTGATTAACATAGTTTTTTAACAATATATATATATATATATATATATATATATATATATATATATATATATATATATACATAATTATCATAAAATTATTTTCTTATCTCCACACGTCTGAACAAAAGGTAACTCTGTTGCTGTTTGCTTCAAATCATGCTAGCACCTTTGCGTACAGTTCGCGTATTTTTTACTATTTATCTTTGGGTGTGTCTTTCATAGTATATACACAATTTCACCATCTTTTTGCTGAATAATTTTTAGACATATTCGTTTACCCCTATAATTTTCCACGATGTATCCATACTCATTGTTCTTTCAAATAAACATAAATTCCTAACTATTGTTGATTGCAATGATTTCCTTGAAGTTATATTTCTTCTCAAATAGTGCCTTACCCTTATTTAAACATTTCAGGATTTTGGTAATGAACTAGCAATGTAATATGAACTGATGCAGAAAAACGGAAGCGTTTATAACGTTCTTTTGTGCTTCTCTCTCTACTCATCTGCATCTGCTCCATTCTTGCTATTGTTGAAATGCTGTGGAGCATCGTCTCAAGCTTCTATTCAACTCCAGTGTCATCTTTCGTTTGTTTAAACCTCTCCCGATTTCGCGAATCGCGCGCATTACTGGTCTGGAAATGTAATACGAACTAGTGAACAGGAACTGCAACTTTTTGCGAACATTCCATTTGTGTAGCCTCTACCTTCTCGTCGGACTCTGCTGTCCTACAACTGCTCCACAGCCCGCTCGCAGCGTCTCACCCCACTGCATCACTCTTGCACATTCTCCGTTCTCTCTCTTGCACTGCACGCTACCCCCTCTCCTCATCCAGACCCCCTCCCTAACTGCATCGCTGTTGCCGACCGGCGATCACACCATCCTCGGCAGATCGTTGTCCCCACCGGCCCCGGCGCTCGCGCCGCTCCCGAGGACGTTGCATCCCCCCCCCCCGGCTCT